AATATATTTTTTAAAAATGTTATTAATAACATATCAATAAAAAATTTAATTTAATTTTTAATATTATTAATTGTCGATTATAAATTTAGAACAATAACCACATTTGTTTTAAAAACATAGAATCTACTCTTGCCCGATAATATTCTTGCACAAAATAAGAAAAAAGAAAGAAAAAAATGATAAAAATCGATAATTCGTCAAAAAATGTAAAGTAGATACTGCAGTTTATCTTTGTTCATAAGCATTTGATTGGTGAGAATCTCTGATTCTGACGTAATCGATTAAAGCAAACAAAATAATAAATATACTCCACAAAAATTTACAAGATACAGAAATCATAGAAAAAAATAATTTAATTCAATATCACTTATCAACAGGCACAATATAAAAATTAATAGAAAAAGTAATGATAAAAATTCTTGATATTAAAATAAACTAATCTCGTAAACTCCAAGTATCGTACAGGTTAATTATCTACTCAACAATATAACTATAATAACACACGTGTCATATTACAGTTATATTGTTGAGTGGAAAATTACAGATAACATGTACATTACATGTAATTTGATGTTTGCTAGGAACTAATAGATTAATATTAATCAAATGACAGCATAATAATTTCAGTGTAAGAAGAAAGATGTCATGCCAACGTTTTTATCTTTTTTTTGTAAAAAATAAGATTATCGTATAACACATTTTACTGGCAATTTTATAAATTTTAAAAGATCTCGCACTAATTATATCAAAGAAAATTGAGTCCCGATGAAATGAATTAATTTTCAAATCTAATGTAACTTACAATGTTGCGAACAAAATATGTTATAGACACAAAACTCAATAATAGAAAATTACGATGACGCGTAGTTTCATGCGAATTGCGGTCGACTACTGCAATGGTAGTTGATAGGAACCCAGCTCTGATCCCATACCTCGTTAAGAGGTTGGAGTATTACAAGGTTGATCAAAGAGTGACATTGATCAAGGAATGAGAATTCCAAACTAACAGTTCAAATTATATATTTTGCTCTCAAATTATCACAGAGCGAGATTCTTATTAGTATTCTGTTTATTATTTATTTTGTTTTAAAAATTTATATATATATATATATAACAAAAAATATTATACATACAAGGTTATTAAAAAATATGAGAGTTCCAAAAAACTGTATAAACGTCAAAAAAAGTAGAAATAAAAGAAGCAGAAATATAAAATCACCTCCAAGGTTCTTTAGAATTTAGAATCAAAGATTAATAAGATCTATCAACAGTTCAACAATTATAAAGAAGTTGGGCTTCAAAAAATGAAAATTTACAAAACTAACGCAATGTTTAAAATAGATGATTAGAATTCGATGAAACGGAATTATATACGGAAAGAAAAATTTTGATGGATGAATATCTAAAAATTTTTATACAAATATAGATTTTATACAATAGATCTAAAATTGCAATCTTTGATCGTCCGCGGCCTGCAACCTGCCGCGCGCACCAGAAATTTACGCAGACACTGGCTTAAAACAATCTATTTTTTTACTCGACGATAATGGACCGGAACTTGGTTACAGAAAATACAATATCACGGGGAGTTCTTCGAACTTATGGTAAGTCACTCTCCGATTATGCCCTTTGTATACCTTAAAATTATAACGAAGAAGATCCAAAAGGTATTCTCTAATTACGCTTAAACTACTGATAAGGCTACTGAAATACATATCTCTTAGGTGGAAAACTTGTGTAATAAAAAATAAACTCTTTAAATTAAAATTTTTATCATTATAATCATAATTTTTTATAGAATTATAAATAAATGCAAATATAATATATATATAATAACCTAACCCTAACCCAACCATGTACCACCCCATCTCCCCCCTGCTAAAAAAATTACTTATGTATAATTATATATAAAAGTATGCAATTATGTATAGCAAATTTTTTTCCAAAACTTATTTTTTTCTAAAACAAACAGTGCAAAAATTTTCTCTTTAATTATTTTTTACATTTTTACATTACTATTATTATTTCTATTATACTAAAAAGTAATTTTACAGAAGAAGGAGAGACGTATGAACGTATTTCATTTATAATTATACACATTTATGAATATTTATTTATGTTTGTATATATTTATACATATTTATCCACGAAAAATGTTATATGTGTGCAAAAGTTTATGGAATCACAGTCAGATATTATTAGAATTAGTATAAAATTTATATCACTACCAAACAAATATTTATTCTTTATATATATTTGTTATATATGGATTTTGTTTGAATTTAACAATAAAATCTGTAATAAATAACAATCACCACAATGATCACGATAACGCAATAATGGTATTTAACAACGCAAAATGATTCACACAATATTATCTTAGATAAATAACACTTGAAACAACAATCATGAATTCTTCCTACCTGTGGACTAAACGGAAATCACATCAAGGATTTCATAGATTGCAACTAGGCCAAAACAAAGATTCACTAAAAAAAGACGCATGAGAGATACACATGAATATCAGATATTTAATGCCAAATGTTCAATCTAACAACAGAAGCAAGCTGCTGTAAGGAATAGTGTAGATTCTGGCTCTCTCTCTCTCTCTCTCTCTCACTCTCTCTCTCTCTCTCCTCTCTTCCTCTATCTCTCTATCTCATATCTCTCTTCTAATTGTACAGAGAATAAAATAAAGTGGTAAGTAGACACTGTTCGTCTTTGATCAACGTTTGATTGGTCAGTTGGGAATATCCGATGCAATTAGTCGAGATGGATAAACCGGTTAGAGTATTCCGCAAAAATTGATGGGATAAGAAGGTATACTGACAAAACAGGAAAAACATAAACCAATCTGCTATTACGAATGAATATGCAAAAATATAAGAAATAAATATGTATATACAGGGTATCCCGTAAGTTCTTGTCAAGTGTAGATAGAGCGGACTAAACTGAATGGAAAAATTCTCTAACATTTTGCAATTTTCGCAATAATTAACACGATATTAATTTCTAAAAATTGCCGAATATTAGTCTTCAATTTTTTATTCAAATACTATCAACTTTATAGAAAAACTGCAAGAGGTAAAAATTATTTATTTTCTTTTCACAAAAAATTTTGTCAGAACTTTTTATCAACTTTTTAGTAATGTATTTTTTTATTTTTACTAACATGAGAAAATATAGTGTTAAAAAATTCTCAGAAGTTTATGAGAAGATAATAAACAATTTTTATCTCTCGCTGTTTTTCTGTAAAGTTGATAATATTTGAGTAAAAAATTATTGAAGACTAATGTTGAGCGATTTGTAGCAATTAATATTTCGTTAACTATTGCAAAAACTGCAAAACAGCAAAGAATTTTTCGCTCAATTTAATCCACTCTATCTACACAAAAGTGCTTGGCAAAATCTTACGGGACTTGTATGTAAATATATATGTATATATATGTACATATATATATAATCTAATTATATGTATAATGCACTCTATAAAAAATATATTACACACACACACACACGCGCGCGCGCGCGCGCGCGCGCACACACATATGTATATATATATTTTATATA